GCGCTTTTTGTGAAAATTCGAATTTACACCAGAGATTTAGATACGATTCGTCCAAACAAATAAGGTCCGTCCTACCAATCAATTACTCTTTTATCACCTAGAAATTTGAACACTTAACATTAAGAAGATAAAATCTTCACATAAAAAAAAGGGTGTCATTAAATAAAAAATTCGTTGGTAATCAATAAAATTTTGATATGTATAAATTTTTATTATTTTATGCTATTTTATTATTTTATAATCAATTGGTACTGACCAACCAACTCAAAATTCATGGCTCTTGATCAAACTTCAGTATGATACCCATAACTTGATACCCACCACAAACGTCAATAATAGAACTTGGGCTGAGAATGAGGGTTCAAGCTCATAGCTCATCCCGACAAGGATGTCTAGTGGTAGGGTGTTAATTTTAACCATCAACACGAATAAGATTCGAATTTGATTTAATACAAAATTTGAAAATGACACGATTAGTCGATAAAAATAATAAATAGTTCAAATTAAATTCAAACACAAATAACACGAGTAGTGTAGATAGAAAATAAATATTTAACGGATATCGTATACAAAAAATAAGTATTTTATAAATTTTTAAAATTTTTAAATAATATTGTATGAGCTGTTATCCAATTAAATAATTTTTTATTGACACAAACCCGGTACGTATCAACAATAACACGATACGAAAATAACACGAACGAAAATAATACGACACGATACGACACGATTGACATATCTATCTAATAGTATAAATCTCGTGGAATCTCAATGTAGTTTAATCTTCAAATTATGTATACTTTAATTAATCTTATAATTATGTTAGCTACTTTTTGTTTACGAATCTTCAATTATATTAAATACTTAATCTTGTTCGTATGATGGCTACCGTATATGATTAACAAAAAAAGAAGAAGGTAGAATTGAATAAAATATTTTCTTTGAGGGGTCGGAATAAAAATAATGATTTTTGTTTACCAATTAGGCACTCATTTTCAGCTAGTCCCACCAAACCCAAACTAAGGTTGGAGTTAGGTTTGGGTCCAAATCTGATATATGGGTCTCATTTAGAGCATGGCTAACTGCATTTGGATCTAAATGATGTAACTGGGCTGTGCTCGGTTGCCTCGTGAGTTTGTTGCCTTATGGTCGGGTCGGGTATACACTTGTCAATGGATCATATTTTTTTATGTAAGTCTGATTCACATTCAATTTTCATTAATCAGATTTTGATTAGTTTTTTGATTGATAATCGAAATTTGAGTTCGAATTTCTTACATCATATTTATGGATTCAAATTTAAGTATATTGGTAATTAATTTGATTATGATCCGACCAAAATCATATAAATGTGTAAAACCTTTTGATTAAAAGCAATGATTACTTAATGAAATTGAGTAGAAATTTAGATGTCATTTGTTAAAATTTACAATAGTTGAGAGATTCAGATCAAATTTTGAAAAATGGTGTCACTGGGATATTTGGATCAATTTGATTCGGATTAGACAAAATTCAATACAATATCCAATTGGGTAAATTATATTTTGTCTCTTGAAAAATAAAAAAATTCTCAGTTTGTCCTTCAAATAATTAATTTTTTTCATATTGTCCCCTCAAAAAAATAAAAATATTGTAATGTAGTCTATTGTCTTATTTTCACTTGGTTGTTCGTCTGTTTTGTAATTTCTAATTAGTTGATGATGATGTTTATAGTATGATAGAGTAGAGATAGGGATTTAATGGAACTAGAGTGATTCAGTCTGAGCTTCTAGGCTCTAGAGAATTGGACTAGGAGAATGAGATTAACACACATAAAATTTATAGTGGTTCACCAGCTCTGAAATTCAATTAATCCGTTCTCAAGAAAGTCTCTTACTTTTGGAAAATATATTGATAAAAAGGGATTTACACAAAGTATTGAGTTATGCTACAATTACTTGCTAGTACTATTAGGGGTTACGACACTTATTTATAGTTGGCCCTGAGCTTCACTTGATTCGTACTCTTCCTTACAACCATTGCTATTATTCTGCAATGGTTGTAGAGAGTGCTGGGTTAATTATAATTCTTATGTTTGGATAAGCGACTATTGCTATCGAAGTGATGCTGGGTAAAAGCCAGCTATCTTCTATACTGTCTTCCTTGAGATGTAGATGCAGGGAGCTCGAGGTCTGAACTCGAGATCCATGGACAACTAAAGTAAACTAAGCTCCCAACCTAAGATAGCATAACTCAAGTTATCGAGCTCGCCCTTGAACATATTCAAAGTGTCATCAATTGATTTGACACAAAACAGACGAACAACTTAATATAATCATTTACATAATTTTTTGGTTGGCACATTGTTTTACTCAATTTAAAATCTTGGGAGAATTACACCTAGATCCTTGAGGTTTGTCACTTAATCATTCAAACTCCCCTAACATTTGAAATATTATATACAAACTTCCTGAAATTTGTACGCGCGTAACGCTTAGACCCTTATTATAAATATATTCATTAATTAATTACACTTAGACCTCCTGAAGTTTGTAGGTATAATACTTAAACTCCTTGAGTTTAAAATATTATACTTAAACCAAAAATACTCCTACCAATTATAGAATATCAAATATTTTAAATTTTACAACCAAAATTCTTGTTTTATTGTATCATTTATTAAAATAAAATTAAAAATTAAAAATTTAATTTTTTCTTAAAAAATAGTAATTAGTAAACAATTATACTATCTATTGAAAGAAAACTAAAAAATCAAATAAGGGGTCAAAGTCATTCATAATAGAACATGAATTTTACATCCAAAATTCATGTTTTATTATGTCATTTATTAAAATAAAATCAAAAATAAAAGTCTAATTTTTTTTAAAAAATCATAGTTAGTATATAATTATATTATCTATTAAAATAGAACTAAAAAATTAAACAAATGGTCAAATTGTAATGCACACAATATCTTTTAATTTTAATTGAGATAGTTTAGTATTTTAATTTGGTCGTTTAAATTATCAAATTAAATTTTAATAGATAATATAATTGTATACTAATTACAATTTTTTTTAAAAAAAAATTGAATTTTTATTTTTGATTTTATTTCAATAAATGATAGAATAAAATATGAATTTTTGTTGTAAAATTTAAAATATTTAATATTTTATCTTTGATTATAATATTTTTTGTCTAATAAATAATCAAATTTTTAAACGTTCAAATTTTATATTTTATTGTGACTTTGAGCACGGAAAATGACTAGTTAATATATATATAAGCTTACACTATCGTCCAATTTCCCCTATGTCTCTGGCCCCCTCCATCTCTGTCTTCCACTCACACAGTCTGGCCTAGCCCCCCTCTCTCTCACAGTCGACGAGCAACTCCTGCCAGATCTAGAACAACCCTAGACCTCAGGTCTCAGTCGAAGATCTCAGCTAGACCTCAGATTTCAGTCAACGAGAACCCCAAATCAACGATCAATCCCAGATCTCCAGTCGACTGAAAATTTCGAAGCAGATTTGAAATTTTTGTCCCTTGGATTGTCTTCGCTTCTTCTGTTTCTCATTGGTGGACCATCAATTGAAGCTTTAACAATGGTAGATCTTCAACCCATTAAGTAGAGGAGGGCCTACTGAGAAAAAGCAACAACAAAAGATGTCTCATCTCACGATAATTCTGATTCATGTCACTGAGAAAATCTAATTTTTGATTTGGTTCTTAAATTTGTGGGGCTCCCCACCCCCCACCCCCTAAAGAGTAAAACAAACCGTCAAACACTTTATGAAAGCTACTTCTCTTCTGGATTTTTTTTTCCAGTATCCGAACATGCAAATTTCAGAAAGCTCGTGGATTTTTTTTTTTTTGTAAGAAGAAAGCTCGTGGATGAATCACCTACCTTGTGGGTGTATGAGTGTGTATGAATCACCTACCGTTAACTTGCAAGACTGGCTTCGATTGACATGATGTATGTGATTTACAATGATTCCTTACATTTCAAATTTACATTACAAGATTAAAAAGAAACTTATTATATTGAACAAGATTAAAAAGAAACTTATTAAATTGAAAATGTGTGGATTGAAGCCAAAAGGAAACTCTTTCCCAGACAAAAGTAAATTCAGGACATAATTAGTTTTCTTAGTAGCTGGCTCTAACTTGAGAGAGAGAGAGAGAGAGAGAGATGAAAAGGGTCTTCAGTCTTAGCACGGAGACTTCTCTTTGATTGTATTGAGAGTAGATTAGTCGAAATGCACACAAATTGATTCGAATATCCTTTACTATTGAAAAGAAAAAGTGGGGAAGGGGGGGGGGGGGGGGGGGGGGATTTTGATTATACCCATAAGGCCCTTCTAGTCCCACTCATAAATTAAAAATAAATAACCTACCTTTTCAGCATATATTAAGCGGTGTATTATTGTACCTAATGATTATACCCTAGCGCCGTATAGTCCCACCCTTAAACTTAAACATAATTACCTTGCCTTTTTTTTAGCATAAATTGACGTTGTATAGTAGTATTTAATGAACTTTGAATGAGTTAACTTTATAATGAGTGGGGCATTTTTTTAGCAACAATTAATGTAGTATAGTTTTATTCAACAACATTAGGATAAGACAAATAGATCTAATCCTCCCTCAATTAAATTAGTTACTCATATAATAAATAATAATTTATAATCATTTTTTGCAAACTTAATTTTAATTGAATGACAAATGACATTAATGATGGAATATCATCATTTCATTGAATATTTTCTCTATCTACCCAATGATTACCAGAAAAATAGTTTTAATGGACGAAACATCATAGTGAAATCCACTCTTAACATATATATATAAATTTTTTTTTTCTCTATTTTCCGTCTTGGTAGATCGCCTACTGGGTCTATTGAACAAAAGTGGAATCCCTCACAAAAATATTACATATGATGGTTAATTTACAAAACAAATAAATGAAGAATTTTTTTTTTTAAAGGGATCTACATAAATAAAATTCTACAAGATCACATCCACAGATACACATCACTTCATAACATCTCAATATAACAGTTGCAAGAAAATATTAATGCAAGCACACAAGAGGGACCAAATCAAAACAATAATGGAGCAAGGTTATTTTGGAAGGGAAAAAAAAACACCTTTCATAGGTCCAATCTCCAAAATTTGTATGTAGTAATTTTTTTTTTTTTTGACTATTGAAAAGAGAGAGAGGGACGACCAATAACTATGAGGGTTTTTCCATTATGGAATATTCGGTTTGAACCATAACTATGCAACCCCCCAAAAAAAAAAACCCGCAGCAAAACCCTCCTTTCTTCAAAGCAATTTACAGTCTTCTGAGATACAATTCAAGACTAACGATCATCTTAATTGTTGTCCTGAGATGGTTCCATTCCACATATTCTTTTTCTGCCATGTGTCCTACAAAAGGAAAGAAAAAAGATTGAAAAAGTACAATTTAAATAAATGAAGATTGATGTTCATAATCTTTGCATCAACTATGTCGCACACTGTACTAGAACCCTGAACATGTACTCATGCAGGAAAATTAATGAATTAAGAACTATGAATTCATACCTAGCAATGAGAAAATATAAGAATGTCTTGATACTCTCAAGGTGGTTGTTTTTCTTTTTTCTGTGAGCACTCACAAGTATTTTGAGTACCAAAGAACTTGGGACATGTTATATGGGACTCCAGTACAGAGTATATTACACATAGCTACTAATGGAATCTATTGATTCAAAAGCTGACTAGTGACAAACCCTTAGATTATATCAGGGGATGATCATATTCACTGCTACTTTGGTAATAGGATTTTCTTTAGCTATACCAATAAGTTAATCCAGCATTACAACAACAGGACTGTTTTTTCAAAAACCCATGCAGGATCCGTCAATTTTTCAAACCATCTTAGCCTCTGATGACTACCAAACTCTATTTCCAGAAAGTTCATATATGGACTATAATGTACAAAAACATTATGCAAAATATCCAAAATTTTCTTCAGATTCCTAGCTCAAAAAAATCCTCTCCAAAAATCATGCACGCTCAACATAGGTTACCCCTGCTCACGATTAGTCAGTGCATGCCCATGTGTATTTGTGTGGATAAATGGAATGAAAGAGAACCAGGGAAAGGGAGAAGTGAGGGTACAAAGATAGGATGTAAAGAAATGTAAGACCCAAAATGAAATGAGAAACATAGGAGGTATATGATGTCGCATTTTCTCCTTTTCTGATAGGTTACCTACTTCAACCTGATGAGAATGAAACCATGCATGGTTGAACAACTTCATACTGAGCCAGTGGAAATATACTGCAACCAGAAGGATAGGAAGGGTCAATGACACCAAGAAGCAATAATACCTGTTGCAAGAGAGGAACCTAAATCAGGCAAACTTAAGGTATGGTACTTAACATGTAAATACGTACACATACCAAACTTTTGAAAAACCAATGTGTCAGCATATATATTACCCATGCTACACTTAAAGCTAAAACTTGGCAATTGGGAGCAACCAACCTGGCCATTACATGGTGTAGAGCAAGAGTTTAATAGATGGAATCAAGCTGGAATTCAATAAGCAAGTAACAATCCTGAGCTAAGGTACAGCATGGAATAGAATTTGGTTGAGGTGTGCATTGGCAATTAACCAACCAATATACAAAGACATGCCAATTCATCCCTATAAAAAGAGACTAGAGAGCAGTTCTGACTAGAATACGTGTCCCATGATTGTGAATTTTAACAATTGTAACAGATAAATGCCAAGATTTTGATTGGTCCCGATATGTTCTTTTTTCTCGATTACAAGCAATTAATAAGAGAATTATTCAATCGCGATGAATCTAGAAATATGGTTAGATTGAGGAACACCATGATCAAAGATAACTCAAAGTCCCGTTCCCAAATTGCAAACCAAACCCTAAATAAACCCAAAAAAATAATAATAAAAGGTTACAATAAAAGGTGGACAAGTCGTCCAACCCAGAGCCTTATATAGTGAATCAAAGGTACATAAAATCCAACTAAAAATCACACAAACAATTTTGTTATGTAAAAAGGCTGGGTTTCTTAAAAATTTTATTTTGAAATTCAAGTACCCAACCATTAATCTCTATTATTCACGACCAATAACCAATATGTTGTTTTGGATTATAGCTCGCTTTATAACTCTTCTCACAAATGTAAAATAAAAATCAATTAACTGTGCCAAGGTTGGAGCCCCACGGTCTTCTCAGGAGGCAACTGCCCCCACTCAACTTTTAACTTTTGCAACATTTTTCATACAGTTTTTTATATTTTAAATTTAACCCCACAAAAAAATATTCATACACTTTAATCTATTTCAAGTGTATCAAGTAAATAATGTTTAGGCAATAGAATCCCCCAATATATGTTCAACAGATCATTTCTTACACTTTTTGTCTCTCTCTCTCTCTCTCTCTACATCCAAACTAACAACAAGGAGAGAGGGGAAAAAAATATATACATATACAAGGAAGGGAAGAACAACAATGTCATGCATATATGCAACATATGCAAAAACATGCTGTTAGCCATAGGAACACTACCCTCAAAGCATTCATCTATTACCCTTACCCTACATGCATCCAAAATCCTGCTGAACACACTGGTTTGGGAGAAGTTAACACCAGACTTTAGAACTTTTTCTGGTCAGAAAGAATAGCCCATCATTCATGGAAAATGTGTACAAATTAGTAAGTATTATGAATATTTAGCACAGGCACTTATTAAAATCATGTCTACATGTACAGTTGATTAAAAAAACATACATGCTGATATGAAGCAGGAACAAGAAAATCAGACCAACAAGATGATCAGATACTCGATTTCGGGTTGACAAGATAATCTCATTCTCGAGGTCAGCCCCAGAGCATTATACATAGGCAATATTTGCAATTTGAAGCAGAAAAAAGAAAAAACAAACCATTTCTTATACTAAACGATTAATCCTCCAATCATTGATGTCGTTCAACATTAAAAGGGAAATTTCCTTCACTATCACAGATGATGGGGGCAGTAATTTTCATCACAACATATTATCACGATTCAAAACAAATACGAGATTATAAGATTGGATCGAGATTAATCATGTAGCACGACAGGTTGACACGCTTCATGTGTTTACTAATTTTCATGTTCAGATTTTAATTATCAACCCGCTTAGCTCATTCATAACAGGAAACTAATATAACCTGTGACATGATCATGAACATGATTCATAACAAGAACAGAATCCGTGGAATTCGCATAACCCGTATTATTTATTATATTTCAATTTTCATATCGCTCACCTAAGAATACAAACCCGATTAAACCGACACAAACTACTTATTAAACAGACTATGCAAATCATGAAGTGTACTAATGCAATGGGCAAATCGTATTAGGATTAGAGATTTTAACACGATTGGTTAATCTAATACTAGTTCAAATTAACCCATTTAGTGGAATACGCATAACTCAACAAAGCACAAACCCATTTGACACCACGTGGATGTCACCCCAGACAGATGATATCCATTGATGCCATCCTTATGTATAACTTGCCACAGTTTTACAAGAGTTGAACTTTCAATGGGATTGCTAAGGAGGTGGTCAATGAGGCAAGACTGCACGTTCAGAGAAGACATCAAGCAATTATTACAAATGGTCACTCTACGAATAAAATTCACCATAGCTGCCAAAGAGAAGTCCTCAGAATTATCTTAAAAAGGTTTGATTCTTCCATAACAAAGGAAGGCCACCAAATTCCTCATAATTTGGACTTGATTTTGGCATCAGAATACACAATCCATCCATAAAGTTTAAGGCAAAGAGCCAAATGTAAAATTTTCAAATTGAGAATGATTATGAATGGAATTGGATTAGAAACCACAACATTTCACACCGTCAAAACTTATTCTATAATCTGGAAATGGAACTTGAGTACCAGAGCATATTACCTGTCATTTTGTATCGCAGATATGATGGCATTATTTGAAGGTGGAAGGAGCTTCGATATAATTGCAGCCTATAAGAAACCCAGAAAGAACACTAATCCAAAAGTAAGAAAGAAACAACCCCACAACACTTTCTCATTGGAAATGGAAGTGAAGAACCGAGAAAAAAACGTTGGCATTTTTTCCCCTCATCAGCATCCTCTAGTCTAATCACTGAAAAATTATGATCACAAATGAACAATTATGGGTTCAAACGTCAATTGAGGAAAAAAATGAGCTAGTCATGTCAAGAACTGAAAATGAAAAGGAAGCAAAACAGAATTGCATTTCAGTTACACCTCTGTCATACCATTTCATTCAAGATCGAAAGCATACCATTTCATTTAGCAAAAATGCTTCTCCTTTGCCACTCACTATAGGGCCGACAAGTGATTCGGGCAATATGAATCCAACCAATTCAGATTCAATCTTGAAATAGAAAATCACGATATAAAGTAGTAGATACATGTACGTATAAATGAAAACTCTGAATAACAACAAAAAAGAAGAAGGATTAAGAGTCTTACATGAACAACGCACCATGGTTTGCTTTGAAATTGATCTTCGACGGAGCTCTCTCTCTATCTTCTCTCTTCTCTCTCACCCCAAGAAGTCGTATCTTCTTCCCTACACGCGCTAGAGTGTCGAGTTAGGAAATTGCGATCGAATTTGTCGGGTTAAGATATGAAAAAAAAAATTTATCCTATACAAACACACCCTTAGTTTGTAAGAGGAGGAAGGATTTAGAGTTTGCGATCGAATTTGTCGGGTTAAGATTAATCGAAGCGAATTTTATTCGCGAAATTTTAATAGGTTCGAGTGATAAACGGATTGACTCGTTAGATACGTTTAATAAATGGATCTTATTTGAGTGAGTTATGTCAATTCATCTATCACCCGTTTAGATAAAATTAATATAATAATAAATTAATAATTATTTTAAAAAGTTAGACAAATTTTTTTTTGGCAAATTAATATATATATTATTTTTAGTGATAGTGATAGAATAATTTTTTTTTAATTTAGTGACATCCACAAAAAATTAATAATAAATTAAAACTAAGCGGATTAAACGAGTCGTGTCGTGTTATCTGTTTATTAAACGGTTCGTGTTGAAGTTTTTCACCTGTTTATTAAACGAATCGTATATGAATTTACATGTTTTTCACCCGTTTAACCCGACAGACCCTACCCATACTATTTTTCTTGTGATGGCATTGAGTAAACTCCTATGATGGCAATAAACAATCAGCAATAGACATACACGTAGACATTTAAATAAAAATTGAATAACATCTAGACAGCTAAATAAGCTAAGAGCAAATAGATGCTTATGAGTGTAATCGATTAAGCACAATCAAACAAAAAAAATAAGAGTTAACAAGATAGACAAATCTGAATTTGGTGTAAATCAAATATATTAGGAACACCCATATGATTTTTTTTTTTTTGCCTAAAACCAATTTTCTTTTGGGCTATGACCCACATTTGATTTGAACATGAAGAAGTGATCAAAAGTTCAAAACTTCATATATATATATATATATATAACCACTGTTATGCAATTTTTTGCTTAGAAGAAATCCCCCGCCCCACCCCAAGCCTTCACCCTCGGCTGCCACCTCAAAAACAATTTAAAGAATACGAAGAATTCTAAACAACCCATTCTCTTCCAAAGCCCTCAAAATCACTAGACCATCCCCCGCCAACTTAAAAATACCCAAATCAGATCCTCACCTCCCTAATTCAGATAAATCAATTGGAACCCATAAGAGTAATCCACACCCCGTTGCTGCATCAAACACAAAAACGAAGAAGACAAAATTTAAACAACCACATTCCCTAAAAGCCACCACAATCAGCAGCCCATCCCCACCAAAAAGGGTAAAAATAAAACCAATTCAAACCCCTACCCCTACCCCTACCCCTACCCCACCCTCTCTGTTTCATAGCACCCACCGCCCACCCCTGCACACCTCGCTGTCGTCACTAACAGAAAAATGATGAAGCAATTGAAAAAGAAAGAGAGAGAAAGACCTATTCGTCGAAGAGGGGGAACCCATAATATACCACTGACCTTTGTCGGAGAACAAAGAGAGCGAGAGATCTCCTAGAAGCTTCCCTTTCGCCCTCACAGTCGTCATTGCCTGTGTGTTTCTCCACTCTCAGCCTTTTTGATGAATGGTTGGACAAAGTGAAAAAGGAAGGAACGTTTGTCAATGCAGGGGTAAAAATGTCATTGCGTTTTATTGTTTTAAAACCCGGCCTAGACATCAACCTGACAAAAGGACCGGGTCAATGGTTCAAATATTAGGTCACTGATCGAATCGGTAATATAATAAAAAAAATTAAAAAATAATTATAAATACTAATAAATAGGCTAACATCACAATAATTATAAAATTGACGGTGTATATTAATGTGGTGTAAATTTTATGGTAATGAGCAGATAGAATGATCAGTATCCGAGCTATAAGGCTCGAAGAGCAATCGATGAGAAATTGGGGGATTGACGCAAGTGAATTATAGTGATTCACCAGCTTGGGAGCTCGG